ATTTTAAACCTTAATAAAACATCGATACAGGGCTTTAGAATATCGATACAGTATCGGGGAAATGAAATATCGCGATATTTCAGTGTATCGATATTTTCTTACACCCCTAGTTAACTGCTGGAATGGACGGCTAATATGGGAGTGCTTATGTTGGACATTTTTTATGCAGGCCGATAAAATTTGATACTCATTTTTTGGCTGATATCGGACCGATATCCGATATCAATATCGGATCGGGACACCCCTAATCTAAAATATGGATATTAATTAGTGGAATTGATTCTTTAAACAGTCCGGTTGGGATAGGATCTAGCAGACATGTTGATGGTTTGGACGAAGCTATTGTTTTAGATAATTCAGAGAGCTCAACAGGACAAAAACTGTCCAGACATAAATCAGGTTCTAGTGACACTAAAGCTGCCTCATTTGACAGAGAATCAGAGACAGTAGCAGGAAGTTTGGCATTAATTTTATTCCTTATTAAAATTATTTTATCTATAAGGAAACTCATGAAGTTATCACACAGAGTTATAGGGATACATGGCTCAACAGAGATACGGCTTTTCATTAGTCTAGCTATAGTACTGAACAGAAACCTGGGATTGCTTTTATTCTCTTCTATTAAAAATGAATAATATACAGTTCCAGCTTTACGAAAGGCTTTCTTATATGTTAGCTGGCTGTCTCTCCTAGTTGAATAAAATTATTCTATGTTAGTGGAGTGCCATTTTCTCTCCAGGTTTCTAGATGCCTCTWTTAAAGAACGTAACTCTAAATTAAACCAAGGAGTCGGCTTCCTCCCATCAATAACTTTATTTTTTAGTGGAGCAATTTCATCAAGAGAAGTTTACATTAAAGTTGTAATATTATCAACAAGACCATCTAAGTTACTGTTCTCTGTTACCTTACTCTGTAAGACAGAGGAAAAAGAAAGATGGAAGAGATTCTTTAAATTTAGCTACAGCATTCTCTGATAAACATCTACTATAATGAAGTTTACTCTCAGTAGCTATGAAGTCAGCCAATGTAAACTCAAAGTTTATTTAAAAAAAATGGTCAGAGAGAACAGGATTGTGAGGATGTATTATTAAGTTCTTGCTCTCTGTACCATATGTCAGAACCAGATCAAGAGTGTGATGAAGGGACTGTGTAGATCTTTGGACATTTTGAGTAAAACCAATTGACTCAATTAGATTACTAAAAGCTATATTTAAGCTATCACTTTCACTATCAACATTAATGTTAAAATCTCCCATTATTATAATTGTATCAGTTTTTAATGTTAAATCAGTCAGAAAACCTGAGAATTCTGATAAAAACTGAGAATAAGGGCCTGGAGGACGATAAATAACAAGTAGTAGAGGTTTTTCTGATTTCCATTTTGGATGAGAAAGACTGAGGGACAAAGACTCAAACGAATTATAACTAATATTTGATTTAGCATTAATTAATAGTTCTGACTTATAAACAGCAGTTACTCCTCCACCACGACCTCTAGGAACATGAAAATTTTAAAAATTAACAGGAGTGGATTCATTTATACTAACAAAATCCTCCTGTTGTAACCAGGTTTCTGTAAGACAGAATAAATCAATATGATGATCAGTTATCAGATCATTAACTAACAGATTTAGAAGAAAGAGATCTGATGTTTAATAAGCCACACCTAATAGTTTTATTGTTTTGTTCTGGTAAAGTAACTGTGTTTATTTTTTACAAGATTTTTATGATTTAGTTTTGTAGAGTTTTTATATTTATTTAATTTGGTCCTTGGGTGGGCTGACACAATCTTAATGGGGGTTTGGGTGGGTAATAAAGGAGAAGCAGAGAGGTTTGCTACTACAATTGTCCTTCCTAGTCTGGACCCTGGATTGTCAATAATTTCTGTGGTCAACAAAATCAGCTAAATTCTTAAGCTTTGTTTATACTTCATGCAAGACGTGCGGCTGCGGCCCAGCGATGACGTTATTGCGTGTGTGTCACTGACAGCATTCAGTGTTTATACTGGGAAAAGACGTGGGGGATACATTATAGTAATCCCTCCCTCTGCCCTCCCACCGCAGAAGTCACGCTCATAGCTTAGCATGTAAATAAATGCCAGTTGCTAAAAAAATTAATAAATAACTTACTAGTTGCGAGTTTAGCTTGTGCGGGAGA